CAAAAGGGCCTTCTTTCATTACAGTTCTTTTATTTATGATCTTCAAGTGGCCTCAACAAATTCATGAATTTCTCCTCCTACCCATCAATTATGATCAAATTGCACGTGGGACCCTAACAAGACTTTCTTTCTTGTAGTTAACAATAATACGCAACTTGAAAACAACAAGTGCTAACATTGAAAACGTTCATAGTCAATCTGCTGCAAAAATAAACAAATATATAAATTTATTCTTAACCGTCACCAATGTTGACATGGGTATTCTACTATTCTTGTACTTTAAAAAAAATTGTTATTTAATATGATCGATAAGTTTATAATTTGCACAACAATTGAGAATAACTCAAAAAAAAAAATAGTTATTTAAACGAATTGAAGCATTAGTTAATATAACTTAATTCAACTCGTAAAAGCTAGAGCTCGATTTTCTAAAAGAGCCAAACTTAGATTACTAATTGATTTCGTTCGGGCCAAACAAAGTTGTCCTCGAACAACTCTCATCTTTAGTTTTCATGGATGATATGTAAAACAATCGAGCCAAACTAGTTCGTCTACAAATATTCATGTTCGCGAATAATTTGTTTAGAATCTAAGCTTATTAAACAAGTCAAAGTGACTCGTAATTATACGAGCACGAACTCGAACATATATATTTTAAAGTTTTGCATCACTTGAGGAGCTGCGGACGAATTTCTTTGGTAATTTGTTTTTTGCTTGCAAATTAAGCTGCTATTTTCTTACATGTTAAGGATAATATGTACAAGTACATATTAAAGAGAAGGAAAGCATATTATATTATTTGTTCCTTAATTGGATATTTGAATATCATTTAATTATGATTGTCAAATTGCCAACTGCAACATACACGAGCCTTCTGTCACCAAGTCAATTTCGTGTACCACATTAATGTCATCTTTATATCACATATTATATTGTGCATAAATGTATCTATGTCAAAGCACGTGCCTTGCTATTTCTTCTAGGCTATTTCTCTTGGATAAGTGACTTTAGAAATTAACAACAAATTCTTCTTCTACATAATAGTTTATTTAGAGTAGTCTAAAGTTTAGTAATAATAATTTATACATTAGGGTTTATACCTGTACATGAGGTGAGATTCGTTTAAATAAAATATTTGAGTTGACTCATTTTATATGTCAAAGATATATACTTAATTAATTCTATGTACAAAGTATAATATACAAATAAAATTATCCCTATTTAAAATGTCCACCGTCCAATATACATACTGAAGTGCTTTCAAACCAGATATTTGATGCATTATATATATTCGAAAATGTCCACCTGCACGTATTAAGATATCGTGATCATATAATTATATATTAATATGTCATATGTTAATATCCTACCATACAAGTATATTATCTCTTATTTTTTACAACTTAGTTTTGATTTTCGGTTCCAGTTTAGTTTGATATGCTGCATGTTTTTACTAATGCATATGTCATATAAAATTTGTTACTCCATTTATTTTATATTATTTTGTTTCATATATTAAGAAATATACAAACATTGATAATAAATACAGTCAATTAATAAATTTTCCCCTACTTCTATATTCTTAGTAGCATTTAATTTTTTCAATTTGATTAAATTAAATGGTTCTACATTCTTTGGTTGTAAAAGGTTCTAAACTAAATTTGGACTTATGAAAAAATTGAGCCTCGGAAACAAGAATTAATTCAAAATTACGAGATTATAATAAGGTTGTAATACTTCTATAATTTTGTTGACATCAAAACTCAAAAACTGCAAATTAATGACATCTCGAAAGGATTAAGTGAAGACGGTTAGGATAAAAAGTTGAAAGCCCGAACTATCAAGAGCTGTTCTCAGGGTGATCTCGGTATCAGATCGACACCTCGATACAAGGGATTCGCCCACGAGTCACAGAGTACTGAAATCCCGCGGAAAAGCCGAAGTCACGTAGACCCGACTTGTCTGTCAATCAACTGATGCGGCTGCCCATACCCTCATCATTGCCTACATGCCTGCTTACGTCATAGTCGCCCATATGATGTTAATTCGCACAACATCTCCTCAAAAGGCGTGCAGAATGTTACTATAAATAGCTGCATTTAACTCAATACGAAGATTCCGATCCCGGTACATTAAATTTTAGTATTCAACATCTCGGTTCTCCACGAGACTGACCTCCTGTACTGCAAAACCGACTTCTTCAATACTGTTGGTGACTTCAAAAAAAACTTAATAAAAATTCTACTTTCTGCTATATTTGTCATTTCTTACACCTTAATTACGTTGTTAAATTTCGTTTATCAACAAATTTCGTTAAGAGTCTTGTATAATTTGTAAAAATAAAAAATCGTTAATTTGGTCAAATTATGGTTCACACGCGGCCACAAGGCACATATTACTAATTAATGCTCTTATTTAATACGTGGGCGCCATCCATCAACTCGATCTAGGCGTGGCGGATGACTTTCTGCTTACGTCACAAGATGATGCCGGAGGTGTGTAAGGATTCCTTTTCATTGGGCCACGTAGCGCGATCGCGTATTCTTAATAGACACGTTGGAGCCAAAATTCGCTCCAGTATAGACATATGGCCATCAGCCGGGCCACTTCACGACCCGGCCCAGCCCATCGGCTCGTCCAGCCTCAAAAGTTAGACCTAGAACCGGCCCGACTACCTATAAAGGTCGGTTCATTGAACCGTCAATTTTTTAATAAAAAAATAAATAATAAATAAAAAACAACTAGAATCTGGCTGCCGACCCGAAATGTCTAAAAGAAAAAAAATGACTTGGAACCGGCCAGGTTTACCACATGTCCGGTTCCAAAACCGGTATATTCGGGCCGATTCAACCCTTGCCATATTTGCTAAAGTATAACTCATTTATCAAATAGTCAAGTCAAATTTGAGTGTTAACGAATTGAGTTGGGTCGGGCCGAAGTTACAAGTTGCTCATACTATTGAACAACTCTACTTATTATATAGATAAAAAAAAGATGGTCTTCAAAATTGTAAGGTCCTAGTTCAAACATGTAGTTTGTGTGATTTGTAAATATCAAATAGATGACGTAAAGAGGATGAATAAAATAGAAGAAAAATCAACACGAATCAGTGTTGAGGCACGTAAGATACGTTCTCCTTACGATGAATTAATAGCCCTGCATACTACCCGCGGTTCACGGCTAACGTCTCCAAGCTACAATAATTTTATTTGTGTATAGCGTAATAACTCAAATATACAAACATTCAATGAACAATACTCAACTTTCGGAACTCTCAAGATAGAAACGAACACAAAGAACACATGATGCTTTTGGAAAACTTTGTTAAAAGATGCAAAGAGCTCTTGAAATATGATTTTATTTCGTAGGTGTTTATAGATGTTCTTAAACATCTCTAGGGAGCTAGTTCAAGGCATCAAAAGACATATTTCAGGACCCAGTTGTCCAAAATCGAGTAGGAACCCTTTCGAAACGAGCAAGTGTGATTGGGTCGTGTGCTCGTCATGCCTACTGGAGGGTTGAACCAGGCGTCGCACCTGTAACAGGTCTTGCGCGTGTCGAGAGCTCATACGCGCTAGTAGTCGGACTTGGAATCATGTTCCCTTTTTTCCTACTCGTCTCCAATGAACCATTCTAGCGTTCTAGCATACATACTGCATGATTATGACTCGTCTGTCTTATCTATACAATCATCAAAGACAGAACATATGCGAATCCTACAATTTTTGGGTTAGTTAAACTCAATTTCGGGTTACATAAATTTAAATTCCCCTACATTTCAACTATAAAATGTTGAACTTAAATCATGATTTTAAGTTTTTCACCTGCGACAAAATAGAACTGTAACACCGGTACAAAATTAATCTTCCTACAGGACTCTTAAAAATCGAGTCTTTGATTTTCTTTTCGTTATGCATACGTACACCAAAATTAACCCTAAGGTTTGGAGATACCGTGTAGATCACCCAAGCACACACGCACCAACACGCGGTGTGTATTAGCACACGCGCCTTCTTATTGCATTCCATAGTTGGAGCAATCTTCTTCCACCTTCATTTATTGGCTCATTTTGATTTCTAATCTCCTTATCAAGAAACAAAATTCCCACATAAATTTAATTCATTTACATATAATTTTCCCTTATATATATGTACATATACACACACAACACACACTCCATTTTTTGCAAACCATCTTTCTTACCTCAAAGCATAAAAAGAAAATAAAAAAACGAAGCAAAAAAATGGACCAGAAAATGAAAAGGCCAAGCAAACATCAAAGCCCAAATAGCAAGGCCAAGAAGAAAGGCCCACTCAAAGTTGTGTACATAACAAATCCTATCAAGTTCAACGCCACCGCCTCCGAATTCCGGGCCCTGGTCCAGGAACTCACGGGCCGAGACTCCGACCCGCCGGATTCAACCGGGTTCGGGCCGGGTCGAGATGGGTCGGTCAAGGCTGCGGTGGGAATCGAGGCGAAGACGGGCGACGGGTTTTTTGATGGGGCGCAAAACGTGCTGGATCCATTTGGGTTTGGGCTTTGCGGCCCGGTACAGATGGTGGATAGCTTTCAGGGGCTAATGGCTTCTGGGTTTTGGAATCAAGGTGCTGATTTTGGTATTGATGACGGGTTCAAATAAAGCTATTTTTTTTTTTTTTTTGGATGGTAAATGTAAATTAATTATAATTATTGAAAAATCAAGCTGCTTAACCGTTGGACAATTATGCTTTCTCACAAAAAATACATACTGAAAATATAAAATGTCTTAGGCTATGTTTGATAGACAAATAAACTAGCTTATAGTTTATTTGATTAGCTTGTAAGTTTCCTATTTTAAAATAAGTTTCTTTTGGTAGGACAAGATTTTTTAAAAAGCACAAGCCTATCTCGTAAACTTCTTTAGGTTGTTTTTCAAATAAGCTCTTTGAATTTTTTCAGCTAGCTTATTAGGTAATTTTACAGAACACTTTTATCATATGGGCTAGCTTATCAACTATAATCTATAAGCTAAAAAATGACTAATAAACTATCAGCTAACTTATCAGCTATAGCTAGCTTATCAGCTAGATTTAAAATAGCGTACTTTTGTTGGAAAAGTATAACTGCATGACCCATTACTTATCAAATTTAAGTATTAATTATGTGTTTGTTTGTGTATTATTAATTTTGATGGGTTTGAAAATTATCAGATGTTTTTGGTTTAATACTTTAATAATTATAGTTTTCAAGAAAGGTTAACCTATGGCTTGATCGAGATCACCTTGGAGATGATTGTTGAAAAAATTAATAATTTACGTTATTTCTGATTATAGATAGATATGGAGGATTTAGGGTATATTCTAGCTAGTTCAAATATTCTGTGTTCAAATCTTATAAAATCTTGGGAATTGGGATTAATGGAATTATTACGTAATTTGTTCTGTGGAATTTCATCAAGTTGAGACGTTCAAGTGAGAATTGTCATTTGAAGATTGTCTGGATATTGGGTTTATTCTTTTATTACTATTATGTTCGAAAGGTTCTGACTTTGTGATTTTTGTGCCTGTTAATGAAATAGAGAATTAGCTAATCAATATGATGATATTTAAAGGATAAATAATATGTTATTTGGTTTAATTAGTGGCAAAACCCAGAAGTACTTTGCCAGCAAATTAATGATTGTTAGGTTATGATAATCAATAAATTTGTAGCTCAAATAGTACTTTAAAGTCCATTTTTCATACCACTTGAATTCATTAGCCTGGCCTTGCAGATATTTTCTAGACTATGAAAATAACAGTGATATTATTGTTAATTATATCTCTTAGGAGAATGAGAGTGACTATTTTCTTACTGAAATTACATCCAAGAATTTGATGGAAAATTAATTTGAGATTTATTTCACATTTTTTATCATATTAATACGTACCGCGTTTTTTTTTTAATGAAATATATATGAGAGAAGAGGAAACCGATCTATATATCCAGTTTATATATATGTATGACAAAAGTATATAGGAAATAATGCAAACTTGATAATAGAGTGAAAATTGGACATGTCGACATCCAGTTTTTGTATGAAAACTATACATAAATAATTGTAGCTAAGATAATGAAACTGCTGCTCACTATTGATTGGGGATATACAAACTCATGTGATTTAGAAATTTTTGACATATCTTTCTATAATATTAAGAATTTCATATATATAATAGTAGCTCACTAAATTGTGTGATGTTTTGTGTGAATTAATTTAAAAATTAGCCCTGATATGCTTCTACATTTTACATGCATTTTAGAAATATGTAAATTTCCAAAAGAAAACTTTGTCATATTAGTTCAATTTTAACCAAAAGCGGTCACTGCAAATTATCTGGGATAATTTATCTAGAATGACTGTGTGCCTCTTCAGTTTTATATGTTAATTAAGATTATATACTATAAATGAAAAAGGGAAAAGAAAAGGAAACGAGAGGGAAAAAAGGGAAACTTATTATATGGATAACATATGTATGTCTACTTACATTTAGTGAAAGTGAAATTAAATGTGGCCAAGTAGCTAACTACTCATGCATGAGGCAGCCATAACTAGCAGTCCATCTATTTTTATTTGGTGTAACTATTATGCATAAATAATAAAATAAATTAAAATAGTATAACATGAATATTTTTCTTTTGTGTAATTTTGGATGTTATTTTAGTTTTCTTGTTAGTATACAAACATAAACTCCCTTGTGAGTTCGTATGGTCAATGTTTATAAATTTTAATGAAAAGTATTATAGAAATATTAATAAGAAAAAACACACTAATGTTCAAGATATTTTCATTAGGTGGATTGAAAATTTTGAATTTTACACACTTTATTACTAATACATACACAGACATGACAAATTGATTGAGAAGCCCATTGGTTTCCCAAACTCATCATAAATTCGATTGATGATAGTTAATGTTATAACTTGACAATTAAAAAAAATGACCATATAAAATGCTACATTAAAATGGATTAATAGATAGGCTGACTTAATATACATACATCTTATTTTTTACACATCACATTAAAANACATTTTTAAACCCATTGTGCCAAACTTTCCCAGTACATTCTCCAGGAGGGTCAAAAGTCTGAAAGTACAAAAAGTAACAGTTCTTCTCAACAAATCAAGAAGCACCTAAATATAAAAGTACATTTCCATCTCACTTGCATATATTCATTGTTTTACAAGGAAAAAAAAAGTAAGATTGATTCGATCCTACATGTGTGTACTACAGCTCACACAAGATTTCTCACCGTTGGATCAACACACAATTGTTATTGGTATTTATGTGTGTGCGTGTGATGCAACGGTGAGAAACTTGGTGTGTGGACTTCATAGTTGATAGTTCATACACCTGTAAGTTAAAACCTAACTAGAAATAAATTGGCACCAAAATATGGCAACTTAACATGAAACTTCACTTAGAACCATAGGTCTCGAGTTCGAGTCATACAAGGGGTAAGTGAAGAACCGCTATTAATCATCTTTTTAAAAGGGAAAAAAAAAAGGAAACTTCCGGAAGAAAAACTACCAATCTGAATCGTCCCCTTTTCCTAGAGTCTTGATCATGCCATCTGCATGCCATTTAGAAAATCCATTCTCGAGAGCCTCTCTCATCCAAACGTGCCTGCAGCATTCGATGGCTTCTCGTATAGTCAACCAACTTCTCTCCCGTTGACTTTTCTCCGGCCAGCACTCGAGCTCTTCCTTCACATGCAACGCGTACATGGCAGCTCTACATAGACCTTCTGGGCTATACTCGTCTTGGAGAGTTTTGCTCTTGAAAGAATAGCAACCAAGAAAATGCTGAAAAAAAGGGANGATGCTAGAAGCTTATCTTAACATATGAAAAATACTCATTAGTATTCATAACATGCTGCAGTCTATAGAGTGCGACCAAGAACATTAAGAGTACTTCTTAACAAGACTAATTAAATTATCTGAAAAAAAAAAAGATCAATTCATTGTGAGAGCTAGCAATTTCATATTGTCAAATATTTAAAGTCGTGCACCCTATACACTAAAGTGATATAAAACCTGATGCATAGATATTTAGTTGGGATCCTCTAATTTTAAGAAAGAAGCACCAAGTACTTTGAGACCATCATAAACAATCAATATTTATTACGATTAACTTGATAGCCCATTATCCGACAATCACCTACATTCAGAAGACCAGAACACAAAACTTAGCAGTAAAAATTGTATGCCAATTTATTATAATAAAGGAAAAAAGGGGCAAGAAATGAGTTCAGCCTCCTACCACTAAATCCCCTCGAACCCCAGCCTCTTCCATGGCTTCTCTCTCTGCAGCCTCCTCAGCTGTCTCGTCATTTTCCCATCCACCCTATATGAAGTAAATAAAGAGCATGAGCTAAATAATGTTCTCCATATCAATTTGTTCATGGTTTTATCATGGACCGCACATGGCAAAAATTGGATATTAATGCTGAACATGTCACTATGATTTATGTCGGGCAAAACACAATTTATGTCTAGCATAAGACTGGATGCATACATATTAAGAAACTTCCAATTCACAGATATTCCATCTAACTGTTTGACCTTTTTGTCTGAAGTTTTCCAAGAAGAAAATCGATTTACTTGAATATCTTTTCTGTTTCGGCCATCTCACATGAAGTGTATAAAACACAGTGAATAAAAGTTGTTCCTCAGAGAATATAAACATGTTCTTCCCCGTCATAGCATCTTACTAGTTTATAATGAAATGTGTTCCTCAGAGGGTATAGAACATATTATGTGAGAATAGAAAAAAAAAAAAAACAAATTGTTTCCTACAGAGAATAGGTTGGTTGACTTAAATGATCAAAACAAGAAAAATATGCATATGTACGAAGAACAAAAGGGTACGACATCGCCATGAATTAGTTCAATCATGTTTCTCATCAATATTTATCAGCAGAACATTGTTTAGCACATAAAGTTAACAACAAAATAAAAAATGTATAGTCCATCTATTCCCATTTATCCAAAACTGAAAAAGAGGTCCAAAACCACACGTCTAACCTTAGGAAATAGAAGACCAGGTCCGCTATTTGAATTGATCATTAGTACTTCAACTATCTTCTCAGGTGAGCTGTTGCCATCTTCCACGTTCCTGTATTTGAAGGGAATACACCTGTACATGATAATGATACTTGTTAGAGAAGACAAAAATCGATGCATTCTCGTATAACCAATACTAAATAAAATGGAAAGACGGTAAGACAAAACCCAGAAAACTTGTAACTTCTTGCTGATTTCAAAATCACATGAATAGTCATGGATCACATATTCATTTGCTTATAGAAAACCCTGCCACTTGAACAAACTACCAGGGACATTAATCCAAACAAAGTTTCCCCAAATGTCCCCTCATAAACCCCCATAAATAAATAGACCCAGTAACCCTAAACACCCAGATAACCCAATGAACCTGTATATCCAGAAATTTCATTCACCAAACAAAAAGAACCCAATTTTACTCCAACCCACAAAACAATTCCAGAGCACATCAACACAAAAGCAACCCCAAAATTTTCTCCACATTATCCCAATTGAGAAAACCTAAACCAAAGTCCTCATGCAGCCAACCACACATCAATACAAGCCCATGCATGTAAACATCAATACGCAAACGGACAAAAAGAAAACAATGGAGAAATTACCCAGCAATGAGGCGATAGCCATCCTCGTAGCGCTGCTGATGCCGGCCAGTTCGAGCCACCAATTCAGACATTTAATCCGAAAAATAAAAAATACAAAAAAAAAAAGTGAAATTTGCTTCGCTGTGTGGGTGGCGTTCTATATACGAATCAGTGGATGATGCTTTTCTGAATAACGGGAACACAGCAAAAATCCATTTTTCAGAAGGAAAACTGCTCAATTTGTAATCCTAATTCTCACAAAAGGGGGCTGAATATTTTTCATTATTATTTTCAAGAATGGGTAATAAAATATAATTATAAATAAAATTGCAAATCTTTTGTGTGAGGGCAGCGAAAGTATCGGGAAGGGAGAAGAAAAAGGAAATAAAATAAAAGAAATGGAGTCAGCAGTCAAGTTTGGTGCATCTCAATTGAAATGGGTCGGTTGCAGTTGCAAACTAGTTCTCTTTTGTAAAAAAATAGCGAATCTTTATTTTTCTTCTATCCCAACTTGTGTATAAACTGTGGGTAACCAGTATTTTAAATAGTAAAATATATAGTATTTTAAGGGAGAATTCGATTATAACAGAAATTCTATAGAACTATAGGATGGTTTTCTTATAGAATCGTCCATCATTTAATTTATTGACACATGTGTAAAGTGTATTAATTGAAGGACACGTGCCAATACATAATTTATGAATAAATGTGGATGATTCCATAATTCGTGCCATCCGATGGCTTTATAGCAAAACTGTCGATCATAAAAGTATGTTTATATAGGAATTCAAACCGTCTAAAATGTGAGTTAAACTTTCGTACATATATTGATATGAGTGTGTGTTGATCTAACGATTTAAAATTTGGTGTGAGCAGTTCACAACACACGAGTGGGGTGAAGTTCACCTATTTAATTATAATGACAATTCTTTCAATTTAATTATACTAATTAAAATAAAGTAACAAAGTTATTACGAAAGTAAAGTAATATGCTCAACCATTTTGTTATATTATATGACAACAATATAAAGATAATATTTTATGAATGCACAACCATTTCAAAGTGATGTGTAAAATTCAATCAAGTATGTCGCACACAATTGACATTGCACAATTTAATTGACTAGTGTTGTTTGTGGGATATTTTAGGCGTTCCAATTTCTGTGTGCTCTCATTGTTATCATCACTCTTGATTTTTTTGTTGGTCGGCCACAGTGACGTGCTTCTCATTGATTTTTCGCTAGACTTTGAAACGTTGGTGTGCATGAATTGTCGCCCACACTTTATTTATTTATTTATTTATTATTTATTATTATTATTATTATTATTACTTGGTTTATTTTTTGGAGTTTCTTTTGCACTTACCTCTTAGCATTTAACTTCCTGCACCTTTTGCTAAGGAGATATGCATTTGAGGTGAAAATTCATCGCAATTAAAAAAAAAAACAAACAAAAAACAAAAGCAAAAAAAACAAAAAACAAAAAATTCACGAACATTTATGACGGCTGATGAATGATTTGTGCATGCACAATAAATAGGAAAGGACACACACATTAATGATGCTGATTACGTTCACAATCTACTCAAAAAGTTTACGCTTGAAATTGAAGACTGCTATATTTTAAATTTTTTTTAAGCTTTCTCAGCCTGCAGAGTGCAGAATAGTGTTTCTTTACCTTTTATTCTTTAGGGAATGGCTGCAGAATAGACGGATTAAATTATTGTAGACCCATTACATCAGCTCAGTCAGCAGCAGGCAGAGTTTAATCCGAGTAGAGCTTTGAAAATATAATACATTAAACCAAACTTCGACCAAGTATTTTATAAGATGTGTGCATTGTAAGGGAAAAAATGCTTGGATGAGGAACAAACTACATACTCACAACATAACAATGGACATATGTGATCTTACATACACTCTTTTCTAATCACTCAAATACTTGTTCACAACAACTTGAAAACACTTACAATTTAATTTTTAGGGATACGTTTAGCCATAATGCAGAAAATTGGGTTTAAATATGACATATACATACAAACTCACAAAGTCTGGTACCAAGCGGTCTAACAATTAGACAGTTTGGCTCATCAAATGTTTATAATAAAAATGCACACTTATACTATAAAATGTCATAAAAAATCGACTAACCACTTGATATAGTCAATCACCTTCACTACCCAGAAACTTCAAGTAACATAAAGCAGGAATTATAACAAATAACAAACCTGACAAGTCAGCATCATGAAATATAAGCATATTGTGTTTCGAAGCTCAACCTTTTTAAGCAATAGACAAATGGAAGAAAAGACAAAGTTAAAGCACCAATAAAGAAGAAAAAAGAAGCACACTTGTGGGAAAAGGCCACTAAACATAGTATTCTTGTTTTGATCACCTAGTATGCTCACATTACAGTGTAGCAAAAGATATATTCTATGGCCTCAAGTACACGAACGTCATAATAATTAAGTACAATAAACAGATAATTGAGGATTATGATTTTTGAATTTAAGGGATATCTAGTCGTGGAACAAAATCATTCCAAGTTGTTATGATGGCAGCAAATTTGTCTAATAACTTACAAAGCAAAAGACTCCTGATTAATTATTTATTTTCGAGGAAAAGAATAAGTTA